TAATTTTCTAGAAAGATATAACCAGGACACAAAATAAAAATATTTCTCTATTCAGAATGAAGTAGTAAAATAATATAAGAGATAGCAGTAAAACTAGGTACCATAAGCAATATTGAAAAATTAATAATCGTCACGGTGCCATCAATGAAGATCAACTGAAGTCAAAATGATTGTACTTTTTTTGTTCAAGAAAATCCTCATCCAGTTTCCAATAGGCAGATCTCTAGGGAACTMGAAATTAGTCTTGTTAGTGGCGAGAATTTATAAAGCCCAAAAAATGTATTTTTACAAGAAACAATCCCCTAAGAACTCACGATCTGAATAGAATATTCCATATTGCCATACTCAGTGTTCAKAAAAAATCAATGAGCAGGTATTTTTGTTTTATAGAGTAATAATACCGTTTTTTTGTCTAAGGCAATCTCAAGAAGGCGCTGTGGAATTTTCGCAGGAAGAACTAGTTCCGGACTTCTCAATTTTCTGGACTGGATCTGGTTTCAACAAGACCAGAGTTGCGCCGCCTCATTTTGCAAGACACGCGAAGTGTTTAAGAGAAAAGTGAAAAACGTTGCAAGAACCAGTAAGGCAGAATTCACAATCACAATAACTAGAAATGTTCAAAATAAGTTTCAGTTCCGAAGGGGGATCGTCAGTTTGTTAACGCTCAATATTTATTGGAGGAACATTATTGAATTAAATCAGACCTCTTCATTGTGCAAATTGGTAAATGTTTGTTAAATACATTTAAAATGACAAAAACTGATTATTTAGTAGGATTGCGTAATAGCGTAATTCGATCTACTCTTTAAGAATAGTCAATAAAATTAAGAATGCGATGTAAAAAATAATCGTAGTCGTCATATATAAAATTTTTCCACAATCAAATTATCGCAATTAAAATACTAGATTTTCAAAACAGACATTTGCCTTTGATTCACTGAATTTATTCCAAGTTGAGACTGGCACTATTAACATTAATCAAGACTTAAAACCAGACGTGTAAAACAATCTTGGACAATTTGATTCGTATAATCACTTTGTGCGGCTGTGACAATCAAAGGAAAAGTTAAAGTTATTATCGAATTTTCAAAAGATATCAATCAATGTTATCATTCTAAAAAATTATTCGTACGAAGCGCAAACTACCTTATCAAAAAGATGTTAACTGTATCTTATAACTATGAATAATTTATCTCAGATGAGTAATAGCCTCTAGTAAAACGAGTAGTTAATAAAAAAATAGTCGCCTGATTGATTAAATGTTAATAAATTGCACAACTAGCTTGACCCACAGTTTGTGCCTTCTTATCATTATAAACAGGGTCGAATAAAGTTGATAACACGAACATATCATGAGTTAGACGTCTTCTCTCTGGAACGGAATGTGTTTTTACAGAGCTTAATAAAATTGGCAACTTATTGATGAACATGGAAACGTGAAAAAGCCGCTAAAAGATCAATACAGTCAGTCGGCGTTCCAGGTGACAATGCTTCGAAAATATCGTCACAAGCTGCATCATTTTGCGCCCAAGTTTAAAAATACATAAAACTAATGCCGTAGTTTAAGTTTTAGTAAACTACCAACACTGTTGTGAATGACGTAAACCCAATAATTTTTAATTGGCTCCGTGTGCTACTGTACAAAGCTCAGCAAAAACGTGCGTTTATCTTATTTTGTTTACACATTCTGAATGATGAAACAATTACATTCAAATCATTCAATTACACATTCAAATGAATGAATGCAATTGAAAAATGTACTGATGCTGTTCTGTGTGTGTTCTGGTCGCTGATAAGCTCACAACATTCAAATCAATTCTCTTAAGAGTGTAAGCTATAAATCAATTAATTGTTGAAATAATCAATGAAAGGTTTGAAAAACAAATAGGCCTAAATTTAATAAAACGAAAGTTAGGATTATCTCTAGAGAAATCTAGCGAAATGTATTTCTTATACTCATTGGAGAGCAAATAGAACGGGTTTTTAGGTTTAAGTATTAATGGAAGCCAAAAAGCCTCCAACTCAGAAACAAGATGATTAAATGTTATGTCTGATCCGTTCTCCTGTACGGAACGAAAGCACTACTAAAGCTGCATCTATCAATCGAACTGAAGCTTTCGCGATGTGGACACTGAAACTGTTGCTAAGAATGCCGAGGAGAGACCGTGCCAGATATGAAGGTCAATCAGCTCAAAACGCTGGAGTGGAATACCGATAACTCTTCGACCTTATAAGGAAACGAATTATATCTTATCTAGGACACATTGTACGAGGAGAACGATATGATTTCCAACGCATAATGCTGCAAGGAAAATTGAGGATGGAAGCTGAAGCATTGGCAGGAAGAGACTATCTTGGCTTCGGAACATCCGCCAGTGGACAAAAAAATGCTTTAAATCGCTTCAGGAAGCACCAATGAATAGAACAATATGATAAGAAAAAGGAGGACGCCTACACAGGAATCTGCAAGGCACTTCAAGAAATGTTAAATCTGTGTGTGAAATTTAATAACCACAAAACTCATCTTTTAGCAATTTTTACATAGAAAGTCCAGTCGACCCAAAGAAAGTTTTTCCGAAATGTGTCCGAAATGGGTTGTAACTAGAAACTTACAAAGCTTCTCCCACCATTTCACACTGAGTATACCTGTCCTGGCTCGTCTCGTATCTACTAATTCAACGTTAGAACATCATTGATTTTATCTTGCCTTACA